GCGAATATATAACTTTTTTCGCTTTACCTGTGCCCCTACTGCTGCGCCCTCTACAGGCAGCCAGCTGAATCAAAGCATTTCCTGTCAAACATTCAAAACATATTGAAAGAAGAAAGTTGAAAAGTTCTGAACCGTTTAAGCCCAAATTTTGACAGAACATGCGTTGAGTTTCCAGCTCGGTTATTGTCTACTTTTGATGTTGATAGCTTATCTGCATTTGCGAATATATAACTTTTTTCGCTTTACCTGTGCCCCTACTGCTGCGCCCTCTACAGGCAGCCAGCTGAATGAAAGCATTTCCTGTCAAACATTCAAAAAAAATTGAAATAAGGAATTGGAGAAAAAATTTTTTATTTTTTTGTTCAGGTTCAGTAAGTAAGTAAGTATCGAGGAATCAGCAGAAAGACGAGCAGATAGGCTTGAGAGAAAACGATTGAGAGTTAGGCAGTCGCGTTCTGCAGCAATCGATTTGATTCACTCTCAAAATAATGAACGCGACAGGGCAAGGGTAGCTGAAGCGCGTTTACAGCTTGCAGAAGATCAAAACCTGCAATACAATCGTCTTGCATTCAGATATAATCCAACTATTGATTACAGCTCGAATCGAATGTCGTTATTGGACGAATGCATCAGGTCTGCATATACCGTCAGGCTATCAAATTCAAAAACGAACCAAAAGGATTGTGTTGCGCTTCCGGGAAAGTGGAATTGCCTCAACTTGAAGCACCACCAGAGCCTCTGCACTCTCTATTCGCTGGATCTACTGCAGCATCGAAGCATTTCCTGTCGAACATTAGGAAATACAACTCTTGCTTTCAAATGACGCCATTTGGTGCGGAAATTATAACTGCACAATTCATGCCAACTTTTAAAATCAAAGAACAAATCTATCATAAAGCCGGTTCCCTGCTTCCGTTCCCAGACAGCGAACACAAATTTCTTCTTCTTGGTGATGATGGAAATGAAGTAGATGCACGTTATGGAATCAATACCTAAATACGCTGAAGAGGCACATTATTTCGCAGCTACAGAAGCTTTTTCACGAACGGAACAATTTGGTGCGTTTATTCAAAACAGCAATCGATATGATGCCTTCGGATACCCATAAAATTGTCATTCATGCAGACAAAACGCCTGCTGGAGAACATATCAGGAGATATAATGCTCCAACTATAGACGAAGTATCAATTGTCATAGTCGGGAATCAGTTTCAACCTCGAGATATTATTCTCCATCGACGAAACGATCGATTGGTAAACGTCGCAGAAACTCACCGTTGTTACGATGCTTTGCAGTATCCACTAATCTTCTGGGATGGTGCCGATGGATACCATTTCAATGTGAAGATGGTAGATCCAGTCAATGGTGTAGAAACGAATAAAAAGTGCAGCGCGATGAACTTTTACTCATACAGGTTAATGGTTCGGAGGACCGATTGCAATCATATATTGATTGTTGTTCCTCCGATTGAATCAGACGAAACTTCGGTCCGATGAATATATACATTTGCGGGATGCTGTGATGAATGACCGTAATACAACCAACGTTGGAAAGCTCACGATTTTGCCATCCTCATACATAGGTAGTCCACGCCACATGCATGAATATGCTCAAAATGCCATGGCATATGTTCGTTGCCACGGCCGTCCAGACTTATTTATCACCTTCACATGCAATCCAGCTTGGGACGAGATAGTACAGCTGTTATTTCCTGGACAATCGTATAGGGATAGGCATGACATCACAGCCCGTGTTTTCAGACAAAATACCAAACTGTGAATGTAAAACTGAAAATTTAGTTAACAGAAATAAATAATTTCCAATTCCTTATTTCAATTTTTTTTGAATGTTTGACAGGAAATGCTTTGATTCAGCTGGCTGCCTGTAGAGGGCGCAGCAGTAGGGGCACAGGTAAAGCGAAAAAAGTTATATATTCGCAAATGCAGATAAGCTATCAACATCAAAAGTAGACAATAACCGAGCTGGAAACTCAACGCATGTTCTGTCAAAATTTGGGCTTAAACGGTTCAGAACTTTTCAAGTCTATGAAGGATGTAGACACGAACAGAGCATTTTATATATATAGATTATATTTTGTGTCAAATGTCATGAAAATTTGACGACTGTATCATATAGGTGCCATACAAACGATCTTTTGATGTAGAGGAAAAATGCAAATCTGTGAATGTAAAACTGAAAATACAATATGTAGAGGTGAATGAAATGAAAGCAGGTATTACTTTATTTTTTTTAACACAAATATATATAATTTATATTGTATGGATTCCTATTCATAGAAGTTCTATCTGCAAGGGTGTATAAACTTCGGCGTGCCGAAGGTAGTTAGTTAGTTCCTTTCTTGTTTTAATTTCATTTCACACAAAAGATTTTCTTTTCAGGACTTTTTATGAATATTCCGTTTGGACCTCTTGTTCCCAAATAATTCTAGCTGATTATCAAATGGTTTTATATACTTTGGTTTGGTTGGTTGGTTTTTCTCTAATATTAATGAACGTTGAAATTTGTTTCCAATTTTGGATATAGTTTTCTTAATATCGAATTTTTAATATGCAGAAGGTATTGTTATTGGGGTTAGCAAAAAAATCGCCGAGCACGGAAAACAAATTGTAACCTTTACGCCTCTCACAACCAAACAAAAAACGGGATTCACTTGAAACTTGGTAAAGATGTTAGGGAAGAGTGTTTCGCTACAACAAAACAAAAAAATCGATCATCGAAAATATGTTGCCAGAGAAATTTGAAAAGTCACCTTACTCTTTGAACACACCTCGTATGTTTATTTCCTGACAGCCTTGATATTTAACCATCGGTGGTGTTTTAGGATTGGCTGTAGTTCGTAGCGCTCTGAAGTGAAGGTCTGTCCGTTTCTAAGCAAACTAGGCTCTCCGTTTTGAAGCTATCAAAATGTGAGGCTATCACACTAGTATACACTGCTGCTGATTTTTATCGATCCGAAGATGAACGCCGAACGCTTTACATTAAATGACTTCTTTGGACCAACTTATTGGATTGGATTTTTCAACAAGGACAATGAATTGTTAAATGCTATTAAGCGTCATCATAGATTTCTTGCATCATTTTATGAAGGACCGGATATACAAATGTATCATTTCTTAAAATGTTTTTATTTATAATAAAACAAATATTAACTTTATATAATATTATATTTAATTGTATATTATTATTTAAATACGATCTTTTCAATCATCATTAAAATAATAAATAATAAAGAAATTGTAATTAACCAGCGAACAGCAGTGTACCGGCCGGATCGAACGACTATATCATCGATTAAAGAATATTTAACAAAAGTTATAACTGTGTCAGTTTTTAGTAGGTTTTCAACATATCTTATTAAAAAAATAACTATTTTTATTAATTCAGAATTTCTGACCGGCCTTGAACGATCGAGAAATAATCCAATTAAGTATTATAACTTTTTTTCTTTTGAATCAGTTTTCATCAAATTTGAGATATAGCCATTTTTATATTATTCTAAATTTCGATTTTAATATTTTGAAAATCTGATGACTATAGTTGCCATAGGAACGATGAAAATATTAATATAATTAAAAACTATAACTTTTTAGTTTTAAACAGATTTAAAAAAAAAAATCTGAGTAATAGCTCTTTTATATTATTCTAGAATTTCGATTTTAATTTTATAAAAATCATATAGGCTCGATCGTTAGATATAGAGGAAAATGTAAAACTGTGAATGTAAAACTCTAAATATATATGTATAAGTGAATGAAATGAAAGCAGGAATTATTTTATGGTTTTTTTAACAAATAAATACATAAGCTAGCTGACCCGGCCACGCGTTGCTGTGGCTAAAGTTTTTGTTATATTACATTAAAGTAAACAATCTAAGAGAACATCAGTCACGGAATCCACTATGCTTTTTCACACAGATGGTATTTGTAAAAATTATGGTGATCTCCTTATTTGACTTTCTAATACTATAACCCTTTAGTACAATGAAATTATTTACGAACAGAGACGAAAATGTTGATGTTGGTATACAAATTCATTGGATTGAGATTTGAAGGGGAAGTCCGTTGGGGAAGTACGTTGAACACAATTAATTAAAATGTTACTACACTTGATATTAAGCAGAAATCAATAGGTACAAAATTAAAATTTATCAGATTTATTATTTCCATTTAATTTTATAACAACAAAAAAAATCTAGATTTTTGAGCTATCTTGACCTTAAATTCAGAAAATCAATAAGACTCTTTTGATTTAGACAGATAAAAAACAAAAATGCTTTCTTGGAAATCTTTCGAACACTCTGTTCCGTCGGATCGATTTTATTAAGATATTTTAAATGCGCTTTTTCGAATCAGAAAACGTCTTCAACACAACAATCAAAATTAAAATTCCGAACTGTCTTTAAAAGTGGCTTTAGTTTCCAAAAAATCTTATTTTGTTGTTTGCCTAAATATATATTAATATATATGAATCGTTTCGTTTTTAATTGCAGACAATTTCAAGAGCGCCAAGCTTCAAGTACAAAAAAAAACAAATATTGATATATTTATATATGGTTTTTATTTAATTAAATTACAAGCTAAATTTAGACGTGTAGACACTTTATACAACATGCTCAGAGTTTTAACATAAACACAATTGATATATGATATAGGAAAAGTTTTTAAATAAAAGTTAAAATATTTGTGGATGTAGCAGCTGAGATGTGGTAGCGCAGATGGCAGGTGTATAAATGCAATTATGCCTGAAAAGCATACCTTTGTTATACTTCCTTTGTAAAGAGTGTTTCAATTAAATACACAGGTACCCGAATAAGAACTTGGTACAGACTCATCGTTATTATTATTATTGTCCGTGCGGATAAATCGCATCTGAAACGTTACCATCATGCAAATAAAGTTATGTTTTGTCGACCTGTGTTGATTTGTATATAATCTCATTATCCTTGTAGATAAGGTCCGTCCCAAAAAAAATAATTTGAAGACCCTAAAGCTTACTATATAATCAAGTATTTTACATTTTCAGCCGAATTCATTATATCTATATGTGTTACATTCAAATATAAGAACTGCCTCAAACTGACTGTGACATAGCTACCTGATTTGAGGTGTTGGAATAAATATTGATAGTTCCACGTTCAACCAATTTACACTCTCTTAAAACTGACAATTTGTCGTTCGAATCTTTCCCTCCATCGGTGTCCGGGCTAGCTTAAAAACGCTTCAATAGTAAAGGTTTGTTTCTGTCAGCGAACGCCGTGTTTATCCATTTAATATCGGGCTTGGCAAAGCGCACGGTCTGGCCCTCGCCGCAGGAGTTTTCGCCAGCGAAAATTCCCTTTAGGCGGACGTTAGAGCCGCTACCGCAAGCGAGCGCACTGCCCACGTCAAACTGGCAAGCGTCGAACTTGGTGGCACTGCACACGCTGCTGCCGTCTGCATTACACTCGCTGCGCCCCTGGGCCGATGTCTCTGTAACGTGCATGATGGCGCCTTCTTCATGGACTATAAAATGAAAAATGGAATCTCTGAATTTGGTTCTGTTACGGTGTTGGAGGTCTGACTTACTTGATAAAGCCTGCTTGCCCCAGCCGGATGTAGAGCACTGCTCCGATGGTTTGGGGTCTTCGTCACTAATGCAGATGGGTTGTATGTGAGTGGCGAACTCCAGACGCTTCTCCAAGCGGATGATAGCCAGGTCATTGGCATTGGTTGTCGGATCATACGAGGGATGAACGTCGATAGTCTTGGCGCCGGTCAGTTGAAAGGGTAGGGGTTCGTTGGTGCTGCCCAGCTCCCACTCGCCGGCCTTGATGCGGATGTCGTTAACTGGTAGGCTAAATAGCATATGAGTTACACTCTTGCTTCTAAGAAAATCGTTTAAACTTAAAAGTCATAATTATTTACCCATTAATGCAGCTAGCAGAGGTTAAGACAAACTCATCGCCAATGATTGCGCCGCCGCAGAGAAGCGTTTTACTCGACTCGCGCAGGATCATGGCCTGCCAGGGAATCTCAGCAAAGTTTGCGTCTAGATCCTTGACTCCAGTTGGCTTGGTGCTGCATAGCGGGAAAGCAACAGGGTTGATTATTTTTTCTATACGAATTGAACATTCCTACCGCTTGTTTCTAGTGGCGCACACTCCGGCTAGGTTAACAGGCCACGGGTCCACGTAGTTGGGGTCGCGGCAGCACTTTCCAGGCGCACCATTCTTGGCCTGAAGGCATTCGGTAAGCGGCACGCGAAAGGCGGCTTCCATAGAAGACAGTTCGACGGGGGTCTCAGAGAGTACTCCGATGGCGTTGCAGTAATTTCAGAAGTACAAACCAGTGCGGAGGCACACTTGGCATAGTGTTTGGGCACGTTGACTGGCTGGGGGGTGGGAAAGATTTGAGGCGATAGCTGGTCCTCTCCGCGGTACACTGGCTTCTCGTTAGAGGGCTGCGGCACGCGATCGGATTCATAGCGCGGAATCTCGTTGACCGACACTGGAGGCAGATATTCGTTGGTAGGTTGGCGGGTGGTGCTGGGACGCTGCGGCTGCGGAGTCTGCTGGGGACGATAGGCGGGTTGGGTCTGGGGAGGCGGTGTTACGACGCGGGGAGTCGTTGGGGCAGACTGGGGGACTGCACGCCGGGTAGTTTGGGGCGCTTGGTAAATGGGTCGCCGGGTTGTCTGAGGCGGCAGATACTCGTTGGTGGGTCGCGAAGTTGAGGGCAGTGGACGGTATGACGCTTGGGTGGTGCGAAGGGCGGGCACGGTAGGGTTCGTCGGCAGGGGGAAATTCTTTTCCGGCAGATTAAAGATGTACCCGTCTTCGGTTAACGTGGTAGAGGGCATGCGGCAACATTCCTCAGGTGCGTAGCAACGGTTCGACTGCAAAGGGAGCGGAGGAAGGGGATGAGAATAGGTAGAGAGTGCAAAGGCAGTGAATCGTAAAAATGTAATCAATACAAAGACAGTATACACTCCTAACTTCGTAGCATATAGGTACCTAGGTACCTGTCTGGCAAGAAATCGTGCTGTGGTCTCTTTTCGGAGTCCATGAGCGTGCGCATCAAATTACATCGAGGGACGGGGCCATTTGACTGGCAATGCGATGCTACCTGGTCATTAAGACGGCCACCGCTGGCTGTCAATGGTTTTTGCGCTTGGCTTTAATTGCAACCAAGAAATGTGCAGTTTCATGGTGCAATCCGACTCACCGGGCTGACTCTGTGAACTGTGTCCTAGCCCCGCCGTCGCTATGCTGCCTACAGTGCTGGGACAGACACTTTAACAGATGTGGCTGTGCGGAGGCTGGCTTATGTTTACCAGTCCGAGTCTAATGTTCATTGAAAAACTCAACAATAGTGGGGGTGCTTCTTGCGGTTTCTGGCCATGGCTGCACTGCACCCACGGTCATGGCAAAACAAGTGATGACTTAGTATTGAGTCATAAGCGTCTACCACTGTTTTTATAAAAAGTGTTAAATCATTTCCCTAGCACTATTAGTTGGTTATGTATGTTTATATCAGAGGAAATTTGTCGACTGATGACAATTTAACAGTTAATCAAACATACGTTTTATTTTATATGAATGTTCATATGTAGGTTCATACAAAGAGATATGTATATGTATTTATATTTCACAAAACAATACGCAAGACTGATCTTGATAGCTGTGAAATCATAATGACTGTGCTGGGTTTACATATACAGAATCATTTCCATATTTTTTAGTAGCGCTCAAGTATTACTCAAGTTCCGTTTGCCAAAACTGAGTGGTTGCTGCCTGCTTACGCAATAACAGTGATAATCATCAGTACCAACGCGCCCACAAAAGAATTAAATTAACCAAAAACTTCACAGACTTTTTGTAGTTGCTGTGCTGCTGCTTTACAACTGCTTAGACTCGCTTATTCCCGCCAAGGTGTACAATTTAAGTTAAATCTCTAGCTCAGAGTGGTCCCCTGTTGAGATGTCAACGGGACTCGGCCTTGGGCTTATAGTTTCGCGCAATTTGTATTTCATAATTCCCGGGGCTCAGCGGCCGTCGTATTTAATGACAAATTAATGTGCTCATTTGTCAAAAATTAAGCGAGGCAAACCTGGGCAAAAATGATTGTAGAACGGAATGACCAGAATGGAGTTATTTTAAATATCCTTCAGTTGCGCCGCCTTTCTGAACTGGACACTAGCACTGATCAACCTAATAAAATGTCACAAGTGGAAAGTATTTGTCCTCCTAGTTAATTTTAATTTTTGAAATTGTCATTAGGCAAGTCTACTGAACCTCTGCCATAATTTCCATCATTTAAACGTAAGTCAAAGGTTATCTTAATGTAGACATCACTTGCTGAGGCCAACGGACGGCTTAAGCTTTATGTAATTTATATATATATATATCAATAAAGCTGGCCAAAAGAGAAAGCGGGACGGAGAACGGCATATAATTTTGATCAATGACAACCAGCTGAGGGAGCAGGCCCAGTCCCAGCACATCTTCCCTCTTACACCTGCCCGGCAGCCGGGCTTCACCCGAACGGCGGTCACCTGGGCTCGCCGCTGGTCATTGCATACCTTATGATCAATCATCTTACGCCAAGATAACAGCTTCGACAACAAAAATCACAAGCTACTTGTGTACCTGCGACAGCTAAAATATGTAATCACCAGCAACAACCTAGGGGGGAGACTCCAAAATGCTTTTAATAAATGTTGTTGTTGGCCATACAAGACAAGTTGTTCATTTTTGTTTTTGGAATGTTTCATAGATAGTCTGGCGCAATTTTTAAATAATGTTGCAGTTACTTAAAGCACTCGGTATTTATTTATAAACATTTTATTTTGAGTCTACCAAGTTCAGCGGGACCCAGTAACACCTTGTGCTTGTACACCTTCTAAAACTTTGGGAGAAACGGACAGACGGACAAGAATAGATCGACTCGACTGTTGATACTGATCAAGAATGTATATACTTCTATATATATAAACTTCTAAATATAATTATAATACCCCGTAAGGGTATAAAAATGAAATGTGGCAATTAATACAGTAAATAAAACGTTAATATGTTCCAAAATCCGACCCTGATGGTGGCAACTAGTAAAACAAGACCATTCGGATGACATATGTATGTATATAGTCATGTATACTCTGCGTTGTGTCTTGGGGGAAAGGTCAAGCCACAACGCTATCTGAGGCGGTGGAATTTACGACACAAATGCTTCATAGCAAACATGAAATTATTTTTACGACTGCATTAATGCGCCACTAGCACTGCACTAACTTGCGGAGTCGTGTTCGCATCGCTTTTTTCTGCCCACAATTTTTACGTCAATAAACTGGTTAGTTTCTGGTATTGCCGTTGTGCGAGTGGTCTGGGCCAAGTCTAAACGTGTTGAGCCGCTAAGGAACTGAAGAAGTTTTTAACAGCCAATGTAATCTCTGAAGTGCGAGTGCATGCAGGAGCTTAGACTTTTGTTTATGTCAATTGCGATTCAATTTATGCACAATCATTAGGGCCAGGGGTTTCAATGAAAGAATGAGTATTTACGACCAAACTAGGTATGCGTGCGGTAATGCTAAAACCTACATTCAAATAAATAATTACTTGCCAGGCCGACTAGATGTCATGAAAATTTGAAAAGCTATTTAAAACTAATAATTGTTTCTTATATGTTTATACACTGTTAAAGTTTTAAGTGGATGATTAATCGATTAATTGTAGTTAAATGCAAAAAAAAACTTTACAGTTAAAGTAAAACATACAAAATCACAGTTTTTCTTATTTTTTTTAGGTTCTCATATAAAGTGGCCGATTGCTCCTATGTCAGCATTATTATTAGTTCAATGTTCATCATTGTTTTTTAACACAAATATATATTACTTATATTGTATGGATTCCTAGTCATCGAAGTTCTATCTGCAAGGGTATATAAATTTCGGCGTGCCGAATTTAGCTTCCTTTCTTGTTTTTTTTTTTTTAAGTTTCTATACCATCTATTGGTATTATCGTTTTGCATTCTGGACTCATAATACCTGGCTATATCTCAGAGTGGATTAAAATAAGTTAAATTACATAATAGTTATACATATATGAAGTTATGGATACATGGATTTGGGAAATCAACTAATAAACATGGAAGTTATTAGGCACTAAATAACTTGAACTTTGAAATACATTTGTGCTACCAGCATCAACAAGTTTCTACCAGCAATTGTCTTTATTTAGAAGTTAAGCAAACATTGTAGGTTTTATCTACCTTCAGCACTGTTTAATTCATTTTTATACCCTTGCAGGGTATTATAATTTCAGTCAGAAGTTTGCAACGCAGTGAAGGAGGCACCTCCGACCATATAAAGTATATATATTCTTGATCAGGATCAACAGCCGAGTCGATCTAGCCATGTCCGTCTGTCCGTCTGTCCGTCTGTCCGTCTGTCCTTCTGTCCGTCTGTCCGTCTGTCCGTTTCTACGCAAACTAGTCTCTCAGTTTTGAAGCTATCTGAATGAAACTTTGTAGTTAGCCGTATATATGTCGGAACGGGCCGGATCGGACGACTATATCATATAGCTGCCATAGGAATGATCGGAAAATTTTTACAAAAAAATTTTAACATTTTCAGTTTTCAATAGAATTGGATCAAATTTGAGATATAGCCATTTTACTATACTCTACAATTTTGTATAAAATTTTATGAAAATCGGGCTACTATATCATATAGCTCCCATAGGAACGATCGAGAAATTAATAAAATTAAAAATTATAACTTTTTCAGTTTTCAACAGATTTTCATCAAATTTGAGGTGTAGCCATTTTATATTAGTCTTAAATTTTGTGGCAAATTTCATAAAAATCGGACGACTATATCATATAGGTGCCATACAAACGATCGTTTGATGAAGAGGAAAAATACAAATCTGTGAATGTAAAACTGCAAATATAATATGTATAGGTGAATGAAATGAAAGCAGGTATTACTTCATTGTTTTTTAACACAAATATATTTAATTTATATAGTATGGATTCCTAGTCATAGAATTTCTATCTGCAAGGGTATATAAACTTCGGCGTGCCGAAGTTATCGAGTCCCGATAATTCGAAATGGCAAGGGGATCACTTTTTTTACGAATTAGACGGGAATTCGATTTATCGAGATTTCTATTTAAAGGGGCTCAAAAATGAAAGAGTCGAATAAACGGGGTACTTACATTTCACATCATGTTTACATATGTATTTAGCTTTATTAAAATTAAACAAACATAATAAATATGTACATTCATTTGTACGCTTTTCAAATTAAAGGAAAATTAAACAAAAAATTAACAAACAAAATTAAGCAGAAACATTAAATTATTAAAAACGAAAATTCAAGCTTTAAAATAATTGGTAATTTTTGATTGCTTCGTGTTTTTTTCTTTTTTTTTTCCATTTCGTTTTCTAAACCTATTAGGTTGTCAAACACACTATTTGGCACATCATGAGTCGAAAAATAATGTTTAAGTTAAGGAATTAATGCTCTGGTTTGTAAATTCTATAAAATTTCTTCTCCTTTCTGATGTCTGCAAAATCTAACGTCGCTTTAACTACAAAATATTTCGCATCGCATTACGATTTATAAGAGGTTTCGAAACAAAATTACGATTTATAAGACTGTATATATTTACTTTTTTTATATTTTGTGATAAGATTATCCATGCAATTCTATTACCTGTTTTTATAAATATGTAAATGTATATAAAAAAAATCGTTTTTACGGATTGCAGGTTCCCGAATCAAACAAATTTAAGCAGCATGCCACTTTGATCAGTATCTGCCGTAGTCATTGACATTGTGTTGTACAAATCGCCGTCGATTAACGGCAGACACAGAAAATAAACCTATAATAATAAAAACGATCATAAAATACTCATTAAGTAAAAGGAAACCAAACTAAGCGCATCTGCACACTGGGTCTCTACATTAATAAATGTTAAGCTGTCAACGACTTTCCGTCAGTGATTCGCGCCCCCTTACACTGGCCTCAGACTCGACCTAGACCTTGAATCCACGGCCTGAGTGTCGCTGAGTGTTGAAGTGCCCGATCTGGTCTGTTTACTCAGAGTGCTTTGTTTTCGTGCGTGCTTTACGGCGTTGCGTTATAACAGCTCTTCGTTGTCCATAAGACATAAAACGGAAGACAGGTTGAAATGAAATATGTTTACACTATAATTATAGCATGGATATAATCATAGAGCAACCAAATCCATTATGCTCTTGCAACTCTCGGAAAAGAATTAATTTTAAATTTAACAAGAAAGGAAGCTAACTTCGGCTCGCCGAAGTTTATATACCCTTGCAGATAGAACTTCGATGACTAGGAATGCATACAATTTAAATTAAATATATTTATGTTAAAAAAAACAATAAAGTAATACCTGCTTTCATTGCATTCACTTATACATATTATATTGGCAGTTTTACATTCACAGATTTGCATTTCCTCCTCTAACGATCGTTTGTATGTCACCTATATAATATAGTCGTCAGATTTTCATATAATTTGACACAAAATTTAAGACTAATATAAAATGGCTATATCACAAATTCGATAAAAAACTGTTGAAAACTGGAAAAGTTATAATTTTTAAATGGATTATTTTTTGATCGTTCCGTTTTCATAAAATTTTACACAAAATTGTAGAGTAACAAAATATGACATAGTCGTCCGATCTGGCCCGTTCCGACATATATACGAGTGAGAGTATATAGAAGGCTAAATATAAAGTTTCATTCAGATAGCTTCAAAACTGAGATACTAGTTTGCGTAGAAACGGACAGATGAACAGAAGGACAGACGGACATGGCTCGATCGACTCGGCTGTTGATTCTGATCAAGAATATATGTATAAACTTTATATGATCGGAGGTGCCTCCTTTACTGCGTTGAAAACTTCTGACTGAAATTATAATACCCTGCAAGGGTATAAAAAGCTTTCTGAGTTTTCTCTTAGTTATGAGTTCTTAAATTTCTGATATTATGAAACAAATTGTCATATAAAAATATGGATAAATTTAAATTATATTATATATATTATTATATTTATATTATATATTATTTATATTTAATACTTACATTATTATTATTATAAATCCTATAAATCAATTGCAAACTGCAAGGGTATGTAAAGCTCGGCTTTCCGAAGTTATTCCCTTTCTTGTTGAACATCATTTTAAGATTTACAAAAAACTTAAAAGATGTCATTATCCAATGTTTCGAAAACATTAAATATTAGAGGTTGCACAAATGAATAAATATAAATTTGAAAGCCGAATGCCGCCGACTTTTAATTTTGGCTTCATATCAAGACTTTTTGGATAAAAAATATTCTTAATAATCATGATGGCACATACAAAGTGTTTTGTATTCCGGCAACGAGTTTTTCAATGCACACAAATTTATACAATTACACAATGCAATCCAATAATTGTAATTGCAGTATCACAAAAGTTCTTATTTAGTTAAATTTTTTTGCAATATTTAAACTGAAAATAAAAGTGTTTTTGATTGTTAATTTAATAACGTAAATTCCGAGTGGAAATACATTGCTCAATCCAATCAATTTATTAAATGGCTATGTCATTTACGGTCAGTTTATAAAGTTTGGTAAAAATAAAATCTTATATCTTTAAAATTTTTGCTGCGTAAGACCGAGTAAATTAAAAATGTATAATAAAATTAGGTTTTTATTTTCATAACAAGTGAAGTTTGAAGCTCGAAAGTTGGTCTTCCTATTAATATTTATCATAAAATTTGTTTATTGTTTCTAAATATATTGCATACAAAAACAACATTGCTTTAAAAATTGTATTGAATTGGGAATTTGTGGGATTCCCCAGCTAGGCACTGGAGTCCCGAGGACAATGGCTCATTGACCACTAGTTCGAGTTCTGAACACAGTTATGGCTTAAGTTCAAATTCGCAATAAGAGCAAGTAGCCGAGTGGCCACGGTGACTTGGCTTGAGGAAAAGGGGCATCTGCTTCGCCGCAGCCTGTCCGGCTACATATTTTACTTTTTTCGCTTTTTTCAGGCGAGCGTTGCATGCACCAGAGGTGTACGCAACCGACCCGTTTTGCCGGCCGTTGCTTATGCAATTACACCGGCCCGCTGTAAATCTGAGATATCTCTTCATTTTATTACCTCTTAGCGTCTCTCTTACTACTACTTACGTAGACTTGTACAGATTTTCATGCATATTTTCCCTTCGGTAGGACCAACTTTACACTTTTCTGGGTCGCATGCGTGAGAGTAAGGCATTACTTTTAGGCTCAACCGCATTCCAGTTTGATAGGTGCCTGATGGCGTCAAGTTCGTTGCCGGTACCACCCGTTTGCTTCGAATTAATACTTCGCCCTGTGGCAATGACGTTCCAGTACGGGTCTCTGCTTCATATACCGATTGGAAAACAAGGCCCGAGCCTAGTCGCCACGCAAGCAAAACGAGAGCAGAGCATTCCCAACATCACTGAAAAGTCGTCGTTCGTCTGAGACTCTCAGAGCATGGCTTGGCATTGTCGGAGAATCCCAAGTAAGAAATTAGAGCACCGACTAAAACAAATTGTGTGCTAATAAGCTGTCCAAGTTTCGATTGTCTTCGTATTCAATCGGGGTTTCCCCATGCGCTTGTGAAACATGCTGTGATGTTGCGGTCGGGTCTTATTCCGATTCCGGCGAGCCAAGCTGCATTAACTGTGATCGCTTTGTTTGCGGTACTGGTCTCGCAATTGGAACATCAAAGCGATATTATGCAGATATTTTTAATGGTGTTATTGTACTTAAGACGCTCAACAGGGAAGACTCTGTATACTAATGATTCAGAGTCTGAGCTTCTCATAGCTGTGAAGTTTCCAGCCAATATGGATTGGCTGCCATTAGGCTTTGAACTTACCCCTTGCTTTTTTACGTAATTGATTGCACTGATTTCGCCGCGGCGGCAATCCTCGGGGGCCACACAGTCCGAGTCAAGTGGACAGGATACATACGGCACAGGCGTGGAGGTCGTTGACGTTGTGGTCTCTGGTGCGCGATAGGTGCAGCATATGTTGGTTTCCGGCTCGCAGTTCTGAAAATAAGGATAAAAGAGTGTCAGAAAAAGTGAAGCTTTTACCTTGAGGACTAACAAGCGACTCAAAAACGTAAGTCCCCCAATCAGTGATAGCTATTTCAGAACCAAAGGCAGTCGACACAAAGTCGCACCTAAGTGCCAATGACTGGGATTTCTGTAGTCTTGGCCGAAAGGTCAGCAATGGTCAGCCACTTGCACAAATTATGTGCTATAAAGTGTCCGGCAAGATGCCAGATGGCACCACTAGCGGCAGTGGACAGCAATTATGTGGCCAATGCTTTTGCATTTGCATTGAACTCTGCAGCAGTCGACCTGGCGGACCTTTGCTAAGATCTGGCTAATTTTTTTGTTCACACTGCCAAATACTATCTGGTGATCACCTGGCATTTAGCATTCGGACAACTACAAATTAATAACTTCGTCTGTCTGCGGCCAGAGATCAAAAGTCGAAACAGTAGCTAGAGGCGGAGTCGCCTTGACGATTTTGCAGTTCAATAATGGAATAAGCAGTTCTTCATCAAGTACAGTTGCCACGATATTGACATCACGCTACGGAAAAAGCTATTCGATAACCAGTTCTCCGAACTGGCATTCCATATATCAATCAGAATCTGAGTTTTACAAATTAAAGAGGCCAATTCCTCTTATTTATGTCTGCTTTTATGTCTCTCAAAACGAGAAAAACTAAAATCGGAAGCCCATTCGAATGTTTCTGAGATTGTTTTAAAGTACGACCTTGACTAATGAAGAGCTTTGCCCCGGTCTCAGACGAGCGTGCTAAATGGGTACTAAATATCACGGATACATCTATCCAGCAATCATTTCGGATTTGCGTGGCGCAATTCAAGCTTCAGCTGTCTTTTAAAGTGCTTCAATCAGGCTTTGGCGTCTACGGGTCCTATTGTATATGCGTATAGACGTATATTCGTTTGTCTGTATCTATTTAAACGCATACGTGACATTTTATTATGTTCATTTCTTAGATATTAGAATTGGTTTGGTTGGATCTGTAAATCAAATGATTTCAGCGGCGTTCGTCAGACATTTTGAAAGTGACTCACAGGTTGATAAACCTATCAGCAGGCGAACAACTTGGAAAAATTCCCAGCAATAGCCACGCAAATTGAGCACCGGTTTTTAGCATCATCGGAATGGGAAAAGGAAATATAAATTTTTTTGATTTGTTTGCGTTTTTTTAATTGTTTAAGCGCGCGGTACTAGTGTCGTACTTTACATCCGTTTCGCTAATTATTCTCATATACAATTATTCAGTGAGCTTCGAATATTTACCCAAGCTAGGCAGAAATTCGTTTGTCTGTTTCTTTCCAAAATAGTCTCTATCAGGTATATTTCGTGTTTAATCAGATTCGTACAGGTCTATGAATACCTTTATTATATGACTAACTTTATGAGATATACGCAGAGGTGGTTAAGAAATCGTATTCTCTCAAATTTTACACATGAGATATTGAGGTTATACTGCAATTATATTTCAAATGTTAATAGTTGTGAACAAAGAAATAAAAAATTAAATGAGAAAACGCTCTCATAGTGCTTCCTAATATATATATAGTTTGTAACTGTTTTTAAGGGAAAAAGTTTTGGTGGTCACTTTTTTTTATCAAAAAAATTTAGCATAGCACTTTGCAAGAATTTAGAAAAGCCTTAGACATTGTTAATAGGTATAGTCCGTTTGTGGAGTACCCAACAGTCATTAATTTGAACTTTAGTAGAATTTAATTTTTTTACATGGTTACAAGACAAAAATTGCACCGTATCCAACCAAAGAGATAATATTATTATTATCTTGTTTTATTATTGGCAATAACCAAATCCTTTTTTTGTTTTTCGAACCAATTTAACAATTCAAAATAATGTATGAAAAACATTAAAGTTCATTTCCGAATATTCTAAACATGAAAAAATGGCTAGTTTTATATCATAAAATAATGCGCTATTGTATGTGCAATATTTGAATTTAACTTATAACTGCACTATTTTAGTGCTACGTTTGTTCATTTTTGCATAATAAACTTCAGATAATAATTACAAAAGCATAAAGGGAAATAGAAAATCATTTCCTTATTAAACCGCAGATACTACTAACCCGAACCAAACGAATTGACCTTCGACGTAATAATATACATTTTATTTGTTAATCTGAACTATTTGTGCGCTCGAAAGGTCCACTTTAAACAATATGCAAAGCAGCGGCAACTTGTATTTTACTTTACATTAATTTCTTTCGGACGCAAATGCGAGGGCAATTAAGCATGAACTTCATTTTTGTTGTTGTTCGACTTGGTGGACTTACGAAATACCTGACCACTATAATCTGGACAGCACTTACACATGTGTGTGGGCTGGTATTTTTTAGCTTTGATAATGACAAACCGGAAAATAACGGTAACTATGCCAAACAACTTGAAAGGCAAAACCCAACAACGACATCAACCAACAACAGGCTAAACCTCCGACATCAATATATTTCGCGTTATCACCGCAGACGGGCTTTTGAATTTTTTGATTTTAGACCTCTGTCGGGCCGAAACGGATCTAGCCCAATGCCATGTATGGGGAGACCAAGCTTTTATCGATCCGAGCAAACCCAAACCAATATCCCATTATGCAGAAGACAGTTGCATAATTTCATCACTAAATTAAATGTCGCACAGGAGTGACAGTTCCTTACCTGGATCCTGGGCAGCTGCTGGCTGAAGAACCCATTCACGCACAGACTTTGACGCACACACTGCTGGCTGGGAGCGCACTTCAAATATTCCTTTGGCGGCAGGTACGTAGGCCCCTGGAAGGGAGAGGCTTGCCGACTGATGATGGCGTGATTGAGGAAGACGTTCGTCGTGGGGTTGACGGAGTGATGCGTCTCCCTATGCTCCTTCACACCATTCTGGTACTGACCGTTTAGGAACATATTGCCCTGGTAGTCAGCGTTGGCCAATCCCAGTGCTGCTAAGGAAAACACTAGCACAAGCTGCTTCCGAAACCGTGACATGGTGGTTGCTTTGCGATTGCTCTTAAGTTAAGGTTGAGAACCTGGTGAAGGAATAAACGAAAAATTATTTAATATTTCAGTATAACATAGCGATTTGAGAGCGGCTGTGAGCACTACGTCAAAATAATATAAATAATAATTATTGGCAATTCTTAATTCTTCAAGGCAGACATTTTAAGTCCTACGGCTACTTAATTCTCAATTAATAATAATTAGCTTCCTATTGTGGACAAACTGAGCATATATAAACCAGATGATTCAGAGCAGTTCTTTTGGGGATTATCGAAACGATCGTATCCGGATATGCTTGAATTGCTGGATTACTGCGAGCCGTGCTGAGACCCAGGTGACATGGTCGTTAATTGTCAACCGGAATGCAGAGGATGCCACACAAGTGATGGCTAATTTGCATGTGGCCATAAACAGACTCCTAACAGGAACATATGTATATATATATGTATGTATTCTTTCTCTGAGCCCGAGTTCAGTGGTAAACCGTCGACTAAGCTTCAAGCCGAAATACGGGATGCGTTCCAATGCGTGACTCAACGCTAAAAATAGTTCAATAGCCGCAATCCGCTCCAGTCCATAGAAAATAAATTAATTTCTAAAAATATGCATACATACATTTGTACGTATGTATGTATGGAGGTGTATGGGGCTAAATTGCTGGTTTTTACCGGAAAAAATTTGCATAAAATATTTGAGACTTCTTTGGGCAGTTTGAGTGACTATTAATTTTGTTTTGCGACTTAGAAATTTCTGCGAATTTCTACTTTCTATTTCAGGAGCCCAGAATTTCTGAAACTTCATCAGAAATGATATTTGGCCCGCGGCTATCATAAGTATTCATTGACATACATATCACTAGTATGTGGGATTTGGCAAGAAGAGTTTGTGTCACTGTTGTATTAACCGTTGGTGTTTTTATGCAGCCATTGCCGCTGTTGTTTTTGATTTTCACATAAATTCAACTTCAAATGTTTGTCTTTGCGCAATCGGCAATCGGCAGCATTGGAACAAAACACAGTACAGAAAATAAACCAAGACTGCAAAGTTCAGATTGCATCTTCTACAATAGGCAACCTGCATACTAAATACAATGCACAATGCAACCAGAGGCAACCGATACTAACAAGAGGCGGGCTATCTGACGGGCGGAAGGAGGCAGGGACTCGGAAAACACTTAGCGGCGACAATTGCAACCGAATCTATCAATGCATCAGCGGCAAATAAATTAAATTTACAACTACAATGACCCAGGAGGCTGCCCAACTATTGTATATAGTTACACAGCTCCACTGCTAACGTATCCTGAGGCCTGGGTGTCCTTGTAGTTCTCAGACTTTGCACTTGGTCACTGGCCGGTAGGTCGATGGCGAAATTTAGCCACGGAGCAGCTCCATATGGGAAACTGGGATTCGACAGCACGAACCAGCTACACCACCACCAGGAAAGTGTCTTACACTGAAAGAATCCGAGATATTTCAGAACCGAACTAACGCACGTACGAACAACTTGAATATGATTGTGAATATTTATCCAAGTTCCTCTGTTTTATATGTGCCCAGCAAAGCTGGCGGGCGAGGCGTCACCGTGGCAGCAGCGCATTCGCGAGCAGTGGAGCAGCAACAATACAGTCCAGCATCAGAAACCTCGGTCGCCGAAGATGCGAACGAGAAAATAAGTGGGACTGGCAACCGCGCCGGCAGCTCAGTTGACGCCAGCAGACGAGTCAACGCCAACGTTGAAGTCGGCGCCAAGCCGACGACGACGCCGATGCTGGTGCTGGTGGTGATGCGAGCGGTGGCTCTCACAAGCTCACTTTCGCTTCGGGTCTCGGAACTGTTTGAGAAGCGGATCTTGATTTTGGCGCGGGCGGGTTCACCTGCCCCATCTGCTCTGATGGATCTTGGGTTCTCGCTTGGCATTCTTGATTCAACTTCAGCTTAATTTGGTTTCGCATTTATTTTTTGTCTTGAGCGTTTCAGGGGCTTTACATTTTTATTAGTGCTATTTTCGTCTGTTTCAGGCGTTCTTACTAATGGGTTGAGGGAAGTTGGCTAGCTTCGAAATTGGATTTTGATTTAGCAAGAATGACTTTCTGTAAATTGTCGGACCGTTTGAGACGTAAGAGCGACGAGAAATATATAAAAACGTAAAAACTAATTCAAAAACGGATTCTCTACATAGTTGGAAAACTTTTTATGCACAATTCGAGTACGGATGTACATATGTACAGTATGTATGTATATAGTAAAAGCGTCGATTAGACTTCGGAGAAGATGCTTGCTACAAACATATACACAAGTACTGAAAATATTCTTATAGTGTATTAGTCAGAGATCAGAGATCACTTTTCTTTAATATATATGTACATACATGTATGTATATACATACATACATATGTATATCCTATACACACGTTCAGACAGGTAAACAAGAAATATATTTCATCTGGGAAAGGCCGCCTAAATCTTGTTCATTAAATATCTTTTGAACTGAGCGTCGGATTCAAATGATTGAAGTGGGCCACTTCAGAAGCTGATTTGGGATTTTGCTACACGGGCCCCATTAATTAAAAGAAAATTATGTTTCACTTTCACCCCCATTTCTCCTGAACCAACCAATTTTACCAACGCCAATAAAAGCCATCGGACATTCGGTAGCTGATTGCAAAATCTGAGTGTGTGTGTGTACATATATGTATGTATGTATATGTGCATATATCCCTGCAGTACCACGTGCCACTGTCATCAACATGTCATCGACGCGCCGACTGCGACTTCTACTACGACGCTCTGCCCACGATAGTCTAGACGGCAGTCGTCGACAGAACCATGACCTGGCCGTTGAGAAATTTGTTGATGAAACATCGATGAATTGTTGATGAAACATCGACGAATTGATGATGAATTGTTAATGAATCATCGATTAATTGTTGATGAATTTTTATTGAGGACAGCCTTGGCCATGCCCATGTTAAATAAATCAACAGTTTGTATGGCCTGTCATCGATGAAAAATCAACAGCTCCTTCTTGACTGTTGATTAACTGATGACAGGTAATACAGGGATTTGTCTTTCGATTTGTCTGGTGATGCTAATTTTTTGCGACATCAAAATAACGATATTAATTTTTCGAAAAACTGCAGCTTTACAACGACATATATTTTGTAGATAGTATAGGATAAAAAAACTAATAATAGGAAACTAATAGAAAACTAATAATTGCAGTTGCAATTGATTCAAAATGCTGATTGTACGTTCTAAACACCTGATAATTATATGTTTTTAATACATAAAGTGTATCACACAACTGAGATAAACCTTGTCGTCTGAACTTTGCTGAAACTTAGTATTTGCCAAACTTACAATATATTGCAGTGTCTTTAACAAAGAGAAATTACATTTCCTTATCCATAAAGTGTACTCCAAACACTGTATGCAAAATTTAAGATAAACTTTTAACAATTATTGTAATTTTTAAAAAGGTAAAAAAATGTCGCACCATTCCAGCATTATGATCTAGTTTGCTCTTCCGGCAGGAAGTAATTTAATACCATATAAACTATAAAATATAAAAGGATATACATATGTATGTACATATATGTATACATATTTTGGATTTGCATCAACAGATAAGTCGTTATAATCATGTCCGTTTCTACAAAGAACTAGTATCTTAGTTTTTAAGCTAAATATCTAAATAAAGATTTTCAGGTAGTCTTCTTTCCATTATGTCAGGATTTTGGTTTTAATTTTATGCAAATCGAATGATTATATCAAATAGGAACGATCGGTAAAAGTAGAGGAAGCGATAACGTAACACAGTAACTCTAAAAATGTAACTGTAACAATTAATTTTAGTTACCGGGTATCTCAGTCGGTCACAAAGACTACTTTTTTAATTTGGTGCAGTGCTTTTCTTCCAGTGCTTGAGCTTATGGCTGAAAAATATAAAATTATTATTACATAAAGAGCGTGCTCTCAATTGTAAATTGTCAAAATAACGTTCGTGCAGTTTTCTTTATGTGTACTGACCTCATGATTACCTTTTGATACAGTTAACAAGCGTGGCTTTGAAGGGAATATGGTGTGTCATATATACATACATACATATGTATATCCTGAAAGGAGGCCAAGGCAACATTTGGAAACAGCTTATTCCAGACAAAAATCCTCTAATTTTTGCAATTCATTTCTTTTTATTTTTCGATTAATTGAGTAGATTGTTTGATTAGTTTTGTTTTTTTACTAAAATATATTTTTTGCATACTTTTATATTTGAATGTTGAGATAAACAAATAGGTAGGAATATAACGTTCGAACGAATGCGACTGCAACATACACTGTTCGTACGTAATTATAAAACAAAAATAATATGTATGTTTATAATTATATCTGGCTCCATAAGTTATGTATGAATGTAGGTATACTAATGTTTATTTAGGATTACAAGACGAGTCTACATATCCATGATTGCCTGCCTATCTGTCTGTTCGAATACGATCTGATACCATGACAAATAGTGCTACAAATATTCTTATCTGTGGTACACATAGCCATTTTGTTTTAAAATTTAGCCGCTCCAATTGCATTTTACACAAATTATGAAAACCATTTACAAACAATTGCTTCTAGAGACACATGCATAAAATAATTATAATGAAATTTTACTGAATTATATAAATATAATACATTATATATAAATATATACATACATTTATAATATATTAATATAATTTGATGTTGTGGAGTTTATATTATACCCCATTAAGTAACCCTGGCATCTTGTAACTAATTTTAAGACTCTTGTGCGAAACTAAATATTTGTGTATTGAAATAAATGTTAGCTTCCTTTCTTGTTTTTTTTTTTTTTTTGAATTGGCTTCGTTAACCACTGTGCACAGAAGTGTGACAAATGGTGCTTTGTTGAATTACTTTGTATAAAGGCCTTTGTAAAAAAGCAGTTTGATGACACTTTCTTGTCTTTGCTTTGATTTACTTTTATGTATGATCCAACAAGTCATTATTTATTCCATGGTAATAAAATCAGATTGGTAATAAGTAAATAAAATTGTAGTAGACAAGAAATATGCATAGCCTCATTGGTTAACCAACAAAAGATGTTTACTCTTGGCTAATGATCATAATTTATAATAATTAATCTATCTTATATATATATATAAAAATGCTCTGTTCGTGTCTACATCCTTCATAGACTTGAAAAGTTCTGAACCGTTTAAGCCCAAATTTTTAGACAACATGCGTTGAGGTTCCAGCTCGGTTATTGTCTACTTTTAATGTTGATAGCTTATCTGCATTTGCGAATATATAACTTTTTTCGCGTTTCCCCGTGCCCCTACTGCTGCGCCTTCTACAGGCAGCCAGCTGAATCAAAGCATTTCCTGTCAAACATTAAAAAAAAAATTGAAATAAGGAATTGGAGAAAAAATTTTATTTTTTTGTTCAGGTTCAGTAAGTAAGTAAGTAACGAGGAATCAGCAGAAAGACGAGCAGATAGGCTTGAGAGAAAACGATTGAGAGTTAGGCAGTCGCGTTCTGCAGCAATCGATTTGATTCACTCTCAAAATAATGAACGCGACAGGGCAAGGGTAGCTAAAGCGCGTTTACAGCTTGCAGAAGATCAAAACCTGCAATACAATCGTCTTGCATTCAGATATAATCCAACTATTGATTACAGCTCGAATCGAATGTCGTTATTGGACGAATGCATCAGGTCTGCATATACCGTCAGGCTCTCAAATTCAAAAACGAACCAAAAGGATTGTGGTGCGCTTCCGGGAAAGTGGAATTGCCTCAACTTGAAGCACCACTGCAGAATCGAAGCATTTCCTGTCGAACATTAGGAAATACAACTCTTGCTTTCAAATGACGCCATTTGGTGCGGAAATTATAACTGCACAATTCATGCCAACTTTTAAAATCAAAGAACAAATCTATCATAAAGCCGGTTCCCTGCTTCCGTTCCCAGACAGCGAACACAAATTTCTTCTTCTTGGTGATGATGGAAATGAAGTAGATGCACGTTATGGAATCAATACCTAAATACGCTGAAGAGGCACATTATTTCGCAGCTACAGAAGCTTTTTCACGAACGGAACAATTTGGTGCGTTTATTCAAAACAGCAATCGATATGATGCCTTCGGATACCCATAAAATTGTCATTCATGCAGACAAAACGCCTGCTGGAGAACATATCAGGAGACATAATGCTCCAACTATAGACGAAGTATCAATTGTCATAGTCGGGGATCAGTTTCAACCTCGAGATATTATTCTCCATCGACGAAACGATCGATTGGTAAACGTCGCAGAAACTCACCGTTTTTACGATGCTTTGCAGTATCCACTAATCTTCTGGGATGGTGCCGATGGATACCATTTCAATGTGAAGATGGTAGATCCAGTCAATGGTGTAGAATGGTGCGCTGAGATTCCACGGG